TTGACCCTTTAGGTGCTATAATCCTAGTAGTAAGATCTAAAAAAAATGTTTTTATTTAGGATTTTGCTTATAATTTTAGGCCTGATAAGCTTTCTAAGGTAACTTTTTATTTCTATATAATAATGATAACCTGCTTCTACACATACTTTATGCCAAACTTAAAGATAAAGCCTTTTTGCGGCTTTGGCTATCGTCGCTGAAGTCAACATAATCAGCTAATATAACCAAAATTATATCCGATCTAAAGATAAATTTAGGACATTAAAAAAAGTGTATGCAAGAATCTTTAATTAGAACTTTGCGAAATAAATGTATTGCGTAGCTTGCCTTATCTTACTTTCTGGCATTCACAATGTGTTTATATGAGTAATGATTTTTGTATCTTGCTGCTTAATCTACCTTTATTTTTATATGGTTTGATAGGCCTAACACACTATTGCTTAGCATTACTCAAATGCTGTATCTATATTCAGGCACTCTTTTGGCTTGCCCTGATTGCAATGCTTAATTTGCTGAGTTTTGTCTGAACTATCTTATGCTAAAGCCGTCGCATTTTAACTGAAATATGTCCTATTTTTTTATCACCCTTGTTCTGATTACCTTCTATGCTGATCACGTTTGTGCACGCACCTCCACATTTTTCCACCATATCAGGCACAGATGAATCAGATCAAAACACTAAAATATGTACACAACCATACATAATAAATCTTTGCACAAATCCGCACTAGATTGCCAACATCGGAGAACTATCGTCACCCAACAGCCCACAATATGAATAGGGCACACATTCACATGCTATCTCAGACATGCACATTTATTAGCTCAGACAGGCAAACCTTCATTTCGAAATACACTTACTCAACACTCTGTGAATAGTATAGCAAGCAAAATACATAAACAAATACGTGATAAATTAAGGAATATGATAATTAAATATTCTTCTACACATATACATAGATAATCCCACGTGAATACACAGGTGTACATTCAAAAAAAATAAATTAATACGCACACCTATATGCGCATAATCCCTTCCGATACATATTTATATAGCCGCATCACGCGCTCGCAGACCCAGAAGCTGATGGCTCCCACGACTAGGTCCTTAAACAATCGGAATTCAGACGTGCAGGTGATTGCTACGGCTATGCTGACCGGCCAACAGGATGATGTGATCAGTGAAGCCGAGCGTCTTCTGAAAGAGTTGCGTGGCGAGCAGGGTGGGATGAAAAAAGAAGGTGATGTAGCGGCTGCACTGAAACTCTTTCTCGATAAGAAGTACGGCCGACTTTGGCACGTGGTGCTGGTTCGTGGATCATTCTGGA